ATCTCTCACAGTAAGAACACTTCCTTGAATGGTTCTATAAATAAAGAATGAATCCTGGAGGGAATAAAGCTGTAAAGCAATAAATAATATATAAACTGGGCCATCCACTTCATCCATAAAGACATTGTGATTGAAGATCTTCTAGATCACATAGAAGGAGGACTCATCCATGATTTCATACATTTGTTTGGAAGGATAGAACAATCCTCAGAAGGGAACATGTAGGATGACAGGAAAGGCTCCTGACTGGTGAGATCCTCCAAACATAATGATGACATCCATGAACTGGAGCGAGCTCGTTGGGGTGATAAAGCCAATCTGGAAACACTGTGTAGACGTTCTCCAAGAACTCAGCACACTCCAGGTGTGGAGAAAGTCTCCAGGTGGGTTTAGCCTGTCATTTATCATAGGTAGAAATGTCCACACATGGACTTCCACAGGGACCCCCCCAGACTACATATAGAACTTGGAGGTACTTGTAACATGGAACAGGATTTGGCATTGCAAGAAGACTGGTCAGAGCAGTGGAGTTGATTGTAGATTTAGTCCTGTAGAACATCTGGTATATGGATACAAAGCCCCCCAGCTGGGAGTAAAGGGTGGAAATGGCTGGTGACCCCCAGATTTGGGCAATGATGTCATCACTATAAATGGATAAAACCCGCGCTATGTGTAACAACTCCAAACCTACAAAAACCTTCTAGCGGACTGCTGCTGTAACAAAGGGAAGGATTCCCTGTCATCTAGAAGAGCATTATGTGTCACAGCGCTGTCCTATTGTGTGTGCACAGAAATCATCACAAATACACTACAAATATGTGGAGACATTCAGAGATAAAGAGCTCGGGGCTCCAAATCCTATTCTCTGCACATCCACTGCTTCCACTTTACACCCACTTCATTGGTCTTATGGGGTTTATCAATAAATGAAGCAAACTGAACCGTGTGCAAATCCATCCACAACATAAAGTGCTTTGTGCTCAAGATGCTGCTCCCTGCACATCCACTGCTTCCACTTTACACCCACTTCATTCATCTCATCAGATTTGTTGCTATAGGAAATCATTTATAATGATGTCCCATCTCGCTGTTTGTAAAAACAATTCTGCAGCTAATTGGCCACTAGGATTACTTTTACATGAAAGCCGCCCACCAGCTAATAAACCAGCACTAGAATGATGCCTGTAGCTGCAAGCATCCTCCCGGTATAACCACTCCAAGTCCAGCGACGTTCCAGTACATTGCTGGTCCATGTTGGACATATATGTACCAGCAGAGAACACGGACATACGATGAATCGGGTCTGCGGACCAATATGACTGCAATTCATTCTTTTCTGTAATGTCCATGTTGGGGGTTCGGCCCAATAAGTTTTAATTTCATAAACGGTGATAGAGTTCCATGTGAATTGTGTGACAAGAGCTGAATTTGGGGGGCGGCCATGTATTGTGGTGTATAAATTGCCTTGGCCCACAATTGGTACAAATCTTCTGTGAAGAACAGTGGAGGGGCTGAACACTAGTGCTGGCAGTGACCGGGCCGATCCGGCTAACACTGAGTATTGGGGACACTATACAAAGCCGGCACTAGTATAGTTCTGTTCATGATCAATATATTGATCCGTACAAACACTATACTAGTAATGGCGGTGATCAGCGACCTATAGCGTGAGTGCCACAGTGTGCGGCCAATCTAACGCCAGCTGACCCTGGCTGGGAGGGGCTTACTGACCCTGACACTGTGTGATGTCACTAGTGGCAGGAATACAGAGATCAGTGAAACATTCTATATACTGACACTGTACTAATGGCACTGGCTGGGTGACGGGGCCATCAAAGGGTTTAAATGTGCTAATCTAACGTGTGTGTATACAATGTAGTGGTGCTTTTACTCGGTGCCGTGTTCTCTCTTCTCTCCCTGGACCGACCGGGGGGGCAGTGGGGCGCAGGTGCATTGACACCCCAAAACAGGAAGTGATGCAGATTATGCCACTTTGCCAAGAGCTGCTGCTCGCCCACAAAATGCGGGTAAGTGGTTGGCAAGTAGTTAAAAAAAAAAAACCTTAACAAATTTTTAAAACAAAATTCTCAATATGGTATTTAACTTTTTTTTTTTAAATACTTTTATCAGAATAGTAGGATGTTACCATAGTAACCATTGTACTACTGTGGGGGGGGAGGGGGGTGATCAGGGATTTTTTTCCACACTTTTCTTTGCAGGAGAAATAATGATCATTTCTCCTTCAATGCAAAGCTTGCTGTCAGAACCGAACTCATTCATCAACTGTCATCAGTGAGTTAGATTTTTGACAGCTCAAGATAATGATCTGTGATTGGTTGGAGCTGGTCACATGGTACAGGGTGCTGTGATTGGCCCCATGTATCATGTGACAGCTGTGGGCCAATCACAGCTCACTAGGAGGAGAAGCAGAGCTGTTATGAATGAGATTGATTCATAACAACTGCTTATATTGGGATCACCTAGAGATCACATGATCACCGGGTCACAATCACTGGGATCTTCATTCCGCTGTATCTGCCAGACACAGCAGTCGGGGGAGGGGAGCGCTGTGTGCCGCCTCGGTGTGTGTGCGCGGTGCTCCTCCTGTGTTAGTACAGCCAGAGTGACGTACAAGTACATTGCTTTGCCTGTAGCTGCCGCCTGGCCACAGTACATTGCGGGTGGGAAGCGGGTAATCTAGGACTAAGGATTCCAAGCTCACTCCTTGGGCCATGATATCATCCAGGCAAGAAATGTAAGTTCTGTGTTCCAATTATGAGGTGACAACAGCATAGAGTGCTTTCAGGATAATGGACAAAGGTAGACAAGCATTGCATGCTGTTGTTGTGTGAAGCAAGTCTGTCTCCTTTTTTATTACAGATAATACATTTTGTTTGGCTTTTTCTGCATTTGTTCCCCAATCCAGACATTCGTGGCCTCCTGGGCTGGATGTGCCGCTGGATCCAGGCCCTGGAGCAAGTCCTGGAGGTGGAACCAGACGAGGACCAGCCCAGCCTTGGAGCCTATTTCAGGCAGCAATTTTAGTTTAGTTACAATTTTTTTTATGATGTTTTATAGTTTTCTATTGATTGTTGGTAATAAATGTTCTATTTCTCTTGGACAGTGCCCTGTGTTGTGTCTTCTTCAGCCTTTGCAGGTCGGCAATCTTCTTCATTGCAGTTGGAGCTGATCTGCATGTCCCTAAAGCATTGCAGGACTCTGCTAGCTCCAGCTGCACTGGACAATCTTGCTTACCTGGAATTTCTGGTAATGTCCAAACAAAGTGTTTTCTGGCAAGTCCAGCTTTAGGACTGTAGCAGATAGGATTGCATGTTTCCGAGAGGTAAACCAGCTCCTTCAATCCTAAGCTGGGATACATAAAGATTGAAGTTGTCTGCTTGCTGTCTGCAGCTACCCCCAATCTTGGTTTGCTTCCTCTTGTGAAATGCTGCAACAGTTTACACAGAACACTCCATTCACGTTTTACATTGTTCACGTTTGGAGTAGCTCTTCATTCCATCCAGGGACTTCTACATAGCTTGGTGGAGTGGAGTTGTGCAGACTGACAAAAGGGGGTGCAGCCAAGTAGACCATGTGTGGGGGGATCCTGTGGCCCAACTCTGTCAAGATGTCTCCCATCACCTCATCTCTAGTTGGGATTGGCATTACACAGAAGTCACATGACTTGAAAGCTGCTCTTGGATGGACTATCAGTTATGGATGAGACCAGTTACATGCAATGTCCCCCAGAAAAGAAGGGGCCCTACTGGGCAAATTGTCTATCTGCTCCACACATACCACTTGGATCCAACTTGTTGCTCATTCACATATCAGTGTTTTGGCAACAAGAGGTGGGGAGGGAATGAAGTGAGGAACAAGTGTCCACTGGGCACATAAATTCCATAGGCACACACGTCTAGAATCAGGCAGCTAAAGATCCTATGCTCCCCAACCAATCTCGGGACAAGATGTTACACGGGGTGTAAAGCAAACTTAGTCTGGGTCCAGTTAGTCCAGCATAATGATAGTCCAAAACAACAGAAGGCCTTCTTCTTATTCTCCCAACTTTTCTGTGTCTCTAGCATTCCTTGGCAGGCTTACTGTGTGTAAGTTGTGTCCTGGTGTCACGCCTGGTGTCCTGGATATTACACACTTCTTGTATAGTGTGTGAGTCAATGAAGTAGCACAGGGAACATATTTGGACAGCAGTGTCAGTCTCTCTGGGGAGGTGAGTGTTCCATGCAGGAGTCTTGGCCAAAACCAGCACCCCAAAAAGACAAAAGCTAGCCGACACTTAGAAAACAAGCTGCAATATTGTGTGTTCCCATATTGGGGAACGTTAGCCTTGCCCACAGAGTCCACTGAGAATTCTAAGCTCCCTTGGGGCAGCCAAATGGTTAGCAGATAATGGCCAACCGCTACATGTGCCAGAGAACTTGTGTGATGGGGAACAGCTAAAACTATTTGCAGGACAGACCACCAGGTGAAAGCAGCAGAAAGGCCAAAGAGTCTCACCACCAATGCCTCTGGAAGGGTCACCTTTTAGTTTTCTTTCTGAAGTGCTGCTTTTTTAGTGTTCGCTATTTGGAAATTATTGGTAGCCATACTTAGAAAAGCCCCTGTGTTGGATTCCCGACATGACCAAGCCACCATTATTACCCCAAACGCATTTCTGACAATTTGAAAGACACGTTCTGCTACTTTCCAAATAATGTTTATTACAAAAAAAAATACAAAATGAATGGGGAGGAGGAGGCTGCTGCTGCAGAGGGGTGGGTGTGAGGGTTGGGGGGTACAGTGTGTGGGGGGCTGGAAAGAGTGGTGGGGAGGGAGTGCTGGGGGAGAGGTTGAATGGGGGGAATGGAAGACAGGGAGAATGTGGGGAGGGGCATTTGAGGGCTGAGGAGAGTGGGCAGCACGTGGAAGGTAAGGGTGGAAACGGGATTGAGAGGAGGGGCATGTAGAAACAAGGGGAGGGGTGTGAAAGTGGGGGTGTGGTCAAGGGGAGTGTGAGGAAGGTGCAGAAGAGGGATCCATGGGGAAGGAGGCATACTGGTCTTCGGGTGAGGTTTTCTTGAGGGGGCTGCTCCAGAGTGGGTAGTTCCAGAATTGGCACCTCCAAAGCTTGTTCCCCTGCTGCTTCCATGGTACTTTCTACAGGGGAAACTCTGTGGCAACCTTGGCATTGGCCCCAAACTACTACTGCACAGGGGTTGGGAGCCTCTGGCCGAAGGTGCATTTTGTTCAGCCCCTGCTTGACATAAGGCCCAGATATCATGAATAAGGTCCTGCAATGCTGTTAGTCTGATCCCTGACCGCGGTGACAAGTCCAAGCAGGGCTTCATGTTGGAGCACCAGTAATCTTTCTATATTACTGGATGCATTAGAAAGCCTCCTTTGCTCCCATAATCTCTCCATGTTGAACAACAGCCTTTCCCCAAGCTTGAGAAGGGGGCTGGGTCCAGGTGTACGGGGTGCTGATCCAGCTGGATCCAATGTTGGCTGCAAGGAGAAACAACAAAAAAATGAAAGAGTGTTTTAACACACAGCACAAGGGTACAGTAGGACAGGGGGCTCGTCTGACACCAAACACTAGTTCATGTTCTTGTCCCACCCCTAGGACCAGGTATTGGTGAATACCTTTTCCCTGACACATTACACTGGATCAGCATTTGACCAAAATGAATGGTTTGGCATCTTTACCCAGACTGATACCTTCCTGCTGATTTGTCACATGCACATCACTCCCTCCAGCTCATGACTAAGCAATGATCCGAAAAAAGTAAGTTACACATCACGTTGCCAAATCCTGCCCAGCCAGGAACGGAGTTTATACTCTAAATGGGTGACTCATTAGGGAGAACATCTTTAGCATCTCTTACCGGATGTTCAGGCAACTCAGGTGGAGGTGACGGCATTTCACACAAGTTTGGAGTGCCTGAACTTCCCTGCACCACAAAACAAAAAAAAAAAACCATGCATTTCCCAAATACACATGTAACATGCATTTGTACATCCCCCACCCATTACAGCAGTTCCCGTACCCCAACATCAGATGTAGATTCCTCTCCCACTCCAACTCCCAACAGCTGGGGTCTCCAGGGGCAAAAGATGATCTGCAAATAGAGTTCAAGATGATGATTAGTAACAGATACTACTTAGGCTGCATGTATGATGTGACATTTGTGACCAAGGTTTGAGGGATTGCTCATTGGTATGTTCTTCACCCAAGTTTATCCAGACAAATAGGACACATGGCAGCCACAGCCCAGGAGACTGGTAGGGAGTAGAAAGAGTCATGGTAAGGCTCAGAGCAGGGGCCACAAGAATAAGGGGCCACCTTTCCTGCCAAACAAGGAGGCAGATATGTTAGGATGGAAGCTCCATTAATGCCCATAAGCTACTGCAGCCATTTTGACCATGGGCTTCAAACATTAAAGCAAAAGATATAACATTTGTCGTTAAGGCAACATTCCAAAAAGGATTCAATAGGTTATAGAAGGGTCACCCAGAAAAAAAAAGGGGTCGGTGATTCAAATCTAAATGTTCCCCAAAATATTTCCAAAACCAAATGCATGTAAATGCACCCAAAAGAATTGTTGATATAACTGTTGATCTGAGAGAACCAAGAGCAATGCATCCAAAACTCCTTTAATCACTTTTAAAACCGCAGGTCTCCTGCAAACTCAATGTGTGAAAAAGAAAATAATGAACTCTTGTGGCAGTCTCAGAGTATCCAAAAACATTAAACAGCCTTTCTTTCAGACGATTGGAAGCTGTTTAAGCTACAAAGGGCGGGCCAAACTCAATATTGAACCCTACGGACTAAGACTGGGATGCCATTCAAGTTCATGTGTGCAGAAAGGAAGTCCATCCCAGCAGTGTTGTGCCCAATATAGTGTATTTGTCAATGAACATATAGATAAGTCTTTATGATAGCCTTTTGGGCTTAGATGACTTAAATTGACCAAGATTCTCGGTGGATAAGTCTGGCAAAGGAATAGATCTTCCTGCTAGTCATGTGATGTGCCAAAACAAAGCAGTCTAATTATTGGCCCCAAGTTTACATAAGAGGCCCAAAGCATTTATTTGGGTTATCACATTATTTTTGGGGGGGGGGGAGGAGCACTTTAAAATGATTTGACCCCTGGGGATTCCTTTTTCAAAGCATTAGAATTTCGTGTAATTTTATTTGGATCTGGGCTGGGTATTTTTTGGACTCCAGGAAAATGGCCCCAAGAATACCCAGTCATGGTATGTCATTTGATTTGGCCTCTACATTTTTGAACAAAGGCAAAATGGTCGCTCTTCACTTGGAACTTGATGATTGGGTGAGCAGCTACATTTCTTTGATTTGACCTCAAGTTTTCCTATGCTGAAGTCCCAGATCACATGAAAGAAATGAAAAAGAAGAATGAATGAATGTAAATGAAGAATTAGAAAATGAGAAGAAGAATGAAAAGAAGAAGAAAATGACAATGAAAAGAAGAAGAGGAATGAAAAGAAGAAGAAGAAGAACATGAAAAAAGTAAAGATTGAATAGAGGAGAAGAAGAATGAAAAGAAGAAGAAGAATGAAAAGAATGAAGAAGAAGAATGAAAAGAAGAAATGAAAATAAAGAATGAATTAAAGATGAATGAAGAATGAAGAATTTTGAGAATAAGAAAATGAGAAGAAGAAGAAGAAGGGAAGTGAAGGAGGGGATATTAGAGGGGGGGAAAAAATCCTTTTTGATGGGGAGGGCCAACAAAAAGGGGTTTTGACGAATACTACCCTTTGGGTTTTTTGGTAAAAGTCAGGGGGGGAAAAAAAAAGGTTTTCAGGTTGAAATTAAAAATTTTTCGGCAATGGGAGCCTGGGGGGAAGGGGAGGGG